GTGAGCTCACTCTTCTCGTAGCAAATGGCATTTATGAGAAAATACGACGGTTTTGTTTTGGCTGCAGATCTCAGTTGCTTACCAGTAGCTTTAAAATACAGGTCACATATCAACCAGGTCATACACGGGACTTTAAAGTAGCTTAGTTTCTAAAAAAAGATCCTCCTTGGCTATGTAAAACTAAAACCATCAACAATAGGATTCAAGTGCTTCTTAGATAAATCACTACCAGTTTGCAACAGGGTAAGAATACAGTGTTATAATGCCAGAAGTTTTTGATTTTTTTTTTTTAATTTTATTTTACTTTTCTTCCCTCTCTCACTGCTAGGATTCCAAGAGGAAAATTCACTTGCCCTTGTGTCTGGGTAGCTCTGGAGGATGGCAAGCAAAGGACCCACAACTTCTACATCAACAAAGAACTCCAGTACTGGAGGGACCAGCGGCAGCAGTAATGGTGCTGGGGAGAATACTAACCAGGACAACACTTTTGAATGTAACATCTGTTTAGACACTGCCAAGGATGCAGTTATCAGCCTGTGTGGACATCTTTTCTGGTAAGTATTGCAGCCCCCACAGATAAACCAGAACACTGTGTTATCTCTTTGATCATAGAAAAACCTATGATTTTTATCATTCTAGATGTCAAATAAAATGTTGTGTATAAAATGAGTAAGGACCATGGGTTCGGTTTAGGAATAGTTTGATTTTGCTCCTCAACTGTTTTTCTTTGCGTGTGTTCCAGGAGTGGGTTTCTCATGTCTTAAACTTTGCGCACTTCTGGATTATTTTGTAAAAGCAAACGAACAAGCGGCCCCACACAGACAATTTAGTGTTCCTTGCTACTGCTTGGTTATGTATGTTATTTGAGCTGTCTGGTCTAGCATAGGTACCTTGTTCAGACCTAACTTCCTTTCTAACCTCTGCATACCTAAATCTGCATCTGAAAGTAGGTCCTGGAGGCCAAATTGTAGTTTTCATACTGTCTACAAGCTTGGTCTTTTTTCCTTTGAAACCACTTAAAGACAATAATTAGATAACAAGCTTTTACATGTGAGCTACTTCTCTTTTCCCCTGGTATTGCAGCTGTAATACTAACTTTTCAGATCTTCGATCCGACTTGGGGATGTATCGCACAAATATAATGAGCCTGCAGCGTTTGTTATTTGGGTAACTTGGTCTAGAATATGCTCTTTCTTGAACATTAAGTTATTGAGGATTGATGTGGCCAAATGTGGTTTTTTTTTGTTTATTTTACACAGTAGGCTAAATTATGCTTTTTAATAAAAAGATGCTTAAAAGAGCATTTATTTTCTGTGTAAACGTATGTAACATCTGAAAATCCAGGTTTTCACTCTAGGAGGAGATGGAAAATCACTTGCCAATGGCACGTTGAGATAAAATTAGATTAAATTTTTGCACAAAAGGAACTGGAAGGGTGGAACCTTAAAAAATAGCATGTATCTTGTCTGAGTAGCGTTGTCAAGACCACTTTGAAAGCAGACAGCTGCTTAGTGTTTTATCTCATAGCTTGCTTGTTTTCAAGTTGCCATATTAATTTAATCTGAAGAGTAGTTTTGTATAATGGGAATTTCTCTGCCCTGAGCAACTGGGCCTGATCTCAATAGCTGACCCTACTCTGAGCATCAGGTTGGATTAGAGGCCACTTGAGGTACTGTTCAGCTTGAGTTATTCCATGATTCTGTGAATGTGCCTGATGTTTTAGTTAAATGTCCCTTGCGTGACTTCTTTTAACATCCCCAAGTCTCATTACTGACATCTTCCTCATTTGCCTCTTAGCTCAGGGATATCTTTTCGTGGTATCAGAAGAGAAAATCTGAACAGTAAACACTAAGATTAATTAAGCCTCTGTACAGGCCTTTGGTACGGGTGAGGACCTAGGAATCAGAGGTGATATGCAGAGAACCACATTAGCAACTTAGATTGCATAACCTGAAAAGACCAGCGGAGATCGGTCTCAGGCTGTGCTTTCAAAAATTATTTTAATGGGAGGTTGTGGAACTGGCCTAGCTGGATTCCAGGATTCTGTTGTCTCCAAGCTGTGCTATCTGTGGTACGCTTAACACATTTGTTGGATCAAGTTGTGAGTAACTAATTCTTTTTACCCCTCTTTTTTTTTCTGCTCTGTGAATTGTCCTGGGAATGCTCACAGTTGGCCTTGTTTACACCAGGTAAGACAGGTTTCCTTTTACTTTGTCTTTCATCAGCTCCTGTTACTCAATAAAGCCCTTGGTTCTCTGGAGTATCCCCCTCTTTTCAAATGCACTTCTTTCTCTCCAGGGCAATAGCAACCTGCTAATGCAACTTCATGCGCAAGACCTTGCAGTCTGCTCTTTCAGCAAAAAGAAAACTTAGATTCTGTTCCACTTGCCTCCTACTTTCGAGTTCTTAAACACTGAGTATTCCCAGTTTTGGTAGGAGAATTACTCTAGGCAGTTCACAGGGGTTTAGTTTGCAGGCTTAAGTGCTGAGTGCACTTCTCTTTGCATATGTAGTGTTTTACATTGTGGTACCATTATAGAAAAGATAGATGAAAGGAGAATGTCTGTGCTTGCCCTTGGCCTATGCAGGACTGTTGGTACTGTTTATTTCTTCATATTTTACTCCAGTGCTGTTCTGAATGTGTACACGTCAGCAAGTGGATCCCACCAGAACAACAGCCAAAATGCCAGCTCCGCTTTGGAGAGTACTTGGCACTTATTAAAATGTTTTGCTCCATGGTTTTCTGAGAAATTGCTAAAGTCTCTCTGCCTGGCTGCAAATGAGATTTGCATGTTGTTGTTTTCATTGTCTTTTACCTAGTTTTTTTATAATTTCCTTTCTTTTAGTGGCTAGAGACCAGGCCGAACAGGCAAGTGTGTCCTGTATGCAAGGCAGGAATCAGTCGAGATAAAGTTATTCCTCTGTATGGAAGAGGTAGCACTGGGCAACAGGACCCCAGGTAAGAAACTTAAATACAACTATTTTTGTATGAAAACTAAAGATGAAGCTTTTAATTTAAGGTCTTAAGATGAAACTGTTAAAGTGCTGGATTCACAATTTGAAATACTTTGTCAAAAGACAGATAGAACTGACATTTTGGCCAAATATTTCTGGCTTTTTCAGGGCCTGGGTTTGCACACCTCTTGTTCAGCTGACAATTTATTTTAATTTGAATTGAGTGTTAATTATCAGTTACAAGTGGCAGGTTGAAATTACTGTTATCTGGCTGGAGAAGCTTATATAAAATGATCGTGTCGTCAGTTTCTAGCCTTTGCAATGGGACTTTATTATTCAAAACTGCAGTGTCTTAATTCAGCGATGTGATGCTGAAGGCTCATAAGCCAGGTGGTCTGCTCGCTTACACACCACCTCCTGCACACTTACACACCACCTCCAGCTCTGCTGCAGCGTGGCCCTGTGAGAGCGTGCTCTGTGTGTGTCCTGTCTTACCAGCCAGGCTAGTGCAGATGCTATTGTCATATATCTTTGTACTTGAGCTAATTTCACAATTTCCTGCAGAGAGAAAACTCCGCCACGACCCCAAGGACAGAGACCTGAACCAGAGAACAGAGGGGTAAGTGAAAAAACGAGCTCGAGCAGCTACGTTGTTTTTGTTGATGGTGCTGTTTATTCATCCTGGAGGACATAATGTATGCATGAGATCCTGTATGAGGATCCTACAGCTTACATTTCTTGCTCATCCCCAGTAGATTGTCTGTGAATAGTTGATAGCTGTGGGGTGGCAGAAAACTCCATTCCTATAGTTCTCTTTAGCATCCCAAAGAATGGGCAAACTTGAATTGGCTTTCATGAAAAGAGCCCTGTGTGGCATCACTGGAAATGCTCTTCAAACTGGATCGTTCTCTACATATAAATACAAGGAACACTTTGCTTTGAAAATTCTTTGTGGAGGTATATTTCCGGCAAACTGTACCAGTCATGGAAATGTATAATCCATGTGTGAACTTGCTTTTTTGGCACCGACACCTGCTTCTAGCATTTCTATAGGATGTTACTGTACCATGGCATTAACACGCAAAAGAACATAAATATCCATTGGATACATGTTAATTTGAAGAGGGATCTGTGGTTTTGTTGAGGAGATTACGTAGAGTGAATGCAAACAGCAGCTGGCATAGGCTGAGCAGACGTGGGAGCAGCCAGCAGGACAGAGCACAGTGTTCTTTAGCACAGTGGCAGCGAGCATGACCTGATGAAACAATTGCGTATTTCCATGTAACTCAGCCTGGGGTCCTCAGAGAGCGTTTTGTGTTCCTCATGCTTCAAGCAAACAGCTCTGCTGGGTGTGCTTAAGGGACGTCTTTGTATTGAGTGTACTGGGAGCTCAGTTGTTCTCTCTCACTAGCGAGTTGCTGCCTTATTAAATCAGCTGCTGTACCTTGTTTGAACCTTTTAGCTGGCACTGCTGTGAGTCAGAGGAATCTGGTATGAAGGCAGCAGTAGTGCTGCTGCCCTCCTGTTTCCTACAGGTGCAGGACCTGCCATGCAGAGTGCTTTGCTGTCCCTGAGAGTTAATGGCAAAATGCTTGAGTCATAGTCAGAAGACAAACTCCTCAAATCAAGGATCAACCCAGAAATGTCTGGGGTTTATTATATCAGTGAAATCATCTTTGTCCTCCCGCTGTTTGGAGGTGATAGACCAGATGGTTTTTTAAAATTGGTATGGCTGTTTTAATTCTGAGACAAGAGGACAGTTTGCTGGATTTGCCGGATTACAGAACGTGGTTAAACCACAGCAGGTGACTGAGGTCTCCGCAGTGTTTAAACACGATGCACCTACTTAGATTCATAGTTAGTCTCAAAGAGCACACTGCTTCTACAGTAGAATTCATCTTGATTCAGAAGACTTCTCTTTGGGCTTGATGTGGTATTTTAGCTTGGATCCCATAGTGGTCAATGTTGTTACATTGTAACTCTTCCTTTTTTTCCTCCTTTTTTTATGTCTCGCATTTCTGCCCCAGATGACTTTACCTGCCACCTTAATTAGAGTCCCCCTGGTAATTTTCTTGGTTTTGGTATAGTTCTTCTCTGTAATGCTCTATGCATCCCACTGGCAATTTATCACTTTACTGCATGTTTAAATGATGCACATGCATCACGAAAATCAATGCAGATTATTTTTTTACAATGCCTTTCTTATATAGCTAATAGCTATTAATACAGAATTACTAATACATTGTTAAGACGTTCTAAATGGAATTGACAATGTTCATTTTGATATATTGTCAGATATATACTATTTAAAGTTGAGAAACATTACAGAAGGCCATGTTTTGTTAATTTGTGGCCTTCAAGCAAGAACTGTGATTCCTAGTTTTCATTTTCTCAAACTTTTGGGTTGCTCTGGCAAGTTTGCTACTGTGTGAAACATTTTAAAACCAGGAGAACTAAGGAGTTTTTAACAATAGTGTGGCAGACTGTAAGTTGCCAGATGGCATGATATTCCTTCAGCCGTAGGAAAGCCGGCGAGAGGGAACATCTGCACTTTTACAAAATATTCTGAAATAGGCTTTAAATGATTGGTACCTTTTTTCTCTTCTGTCACTTTGTTCTCTGCAGGGATTCCAGGGCTTTGGGTTTGGCGATGGTGGCTTCCAAATGTCATTCGGAATTGGGGCGTTTCCCTTCGGTATATTTGCAACAGCATTCAACATAAATGATGGGCGACCTCCTCCAGGTACTATGCATCCTGTCTCCTCCAAGAGTCCTGTCACAAACAGATGTACAAACTCCCTTGTAACTTTTAAACAAATAGCCTGCTCATGACAAAATTTTCTGAACAGTAAAGTAAATCAGTGTTGTAAATCGAAACACAAAATGAGGGAAAACACCCAGTAGAGAACGTAGTCTGTATAAGCACTCGTACAAAACAAGCTTGTCACTTCCACAGGATTTGCTGAAGGCCCTCCTGAGAGGACAGTAGAACTGGAGAGGCAAAGTGGCACTAGAGACTTCTCCCCTCTAATTTAAATGTCTCCTCTGTTCAAAGGTACCTCCTAATTCAAAGGTACTCCAGCAGACTCCGTCTGAACATGAGACAAATAGGACTAGAGTTTCTAATAATAATAAAAAGGAGTCAATAGGGGTGTATGAAGGAGACTCATATTTTGAAAACAGCAGGAAGGGACCATTTCCTGAAAGATAAAAAGGAAGAATTTAAACTGGTCCTCTGTACCACAAGATAACAGCAGCAAAGATTGTTCCTTTTTCAGAAATTTATCTCTGAGCCAGTCATCTGTATTCCACAAGAAGTATCTCTGTGGTGAAATTATGTAACTGTTTTTAATTAAGAAATAACAGTTGGGTTACTCCAAGCAGTGGCCTTCCTCTCTAAAAATCAAGTAATCCCCAGAAAGCCTCGTCCTTATCTGCGCTGTACACAAACTGAGTCTACCTGTTTTGAACAAGAAAACCTACTGCTCGGGATTTTCTGGACTTCCTCTGTGAAAGGAGGTGCCTGGCAAATCTTCTTCACCGTGTCATATGGTATGGGAATTATGAGAAACAGAAACACATTCTTTGTGTCACACCTGTGTTGCCAAGGACCTGTGCTGTCCTTGGATCAAATTAACTTGCTTATTAACTATACCTCAGTGTCCACTGAAAATGTGTGTGGACGTGTGACTGAGCTAAGGAGCATGTAAATATGTGCTGTTGTTTAACCATAATTTAACCAACTCTTTTATCTGCTTTTCATCTGTGGATTCAATACAGCAGTTGTAGAAAGGCACGGCTTGAGCTTTAGAGCTTGTGTGCTTTTCAGTAGTTCTCCTGGTCAAGGCTACACGCAGCTTTGGCTGGTTTACCATTTCCTTATCCAGAGATGTTTCACCTTGACGGGGAGGAGTGCTCAGGCATGGGTGGTAAAGTTCTTTAGGATGGAAAGTGAACTTAGCTCAGCAGTCAGCAGTGAACCAAGCAGTGAACTTGGTCAGCGCTGGCCCCAGAAGCACTCCAAGCAGACCTGCGTGTGCTCAGCTCCTGGAGCTGCCTGCTGCTGTTAGTCATGAGCAGGTTTGCCATGAGTCTTGCTTCAGGGAGCTGATGTTTGTCTTCCTTCTGATCTTCCCTATGGCTGGCCAGCCTGATGGTAGGAAACAGCAACAGTTTCTCACCAAGTAGATTCTTTGCATATCCTTCAATTTATGAATGTACTATGTTGAGAATATACATGATTCAGGAGAAGAGGAAGGAGCTGAACTGCTTTTTTTTTCCCTTCCTGTTTTTCAGCTGTTCCAGGGACTCCTCAATATGTGGATGAGCAGTTCCTATCCCGCCTCTTCCTGTTTGTGGCTCTGGTGATAATGTTCTGGCTGTTGATTGCATAAATCTTTTTCATTATTCTGTATATTCATGGCCAACAAGGCCACTGAAACAGTAACAAACTGCATCCCCATCCCATTCTAAACGTCTTGGTGTCTGGTTCTGTAGCTAACTACGGGCTTCAGGAATGGGTGGTACCACAGCACAACGAAGAATCTCGCATTTTGCACCGGAGTTGGAAATTAAACATTGGTTAAAAAGTGTATTTCAGCTCAGCTATTTTGTACAACAGGTTCCTGCCACAAACCACGGGCCTAGCTTTGAGCTCTGCTCCTAAAGGAGGGCTGCTTTGAAATGCTGTGCCAATCAGTGACACCAGGTTTATGTGAAAGACAATTGCCCCAAGGCAGACTGGGCAGGTGAGGAACCTTCCACAGTGTGATCAGCATCTCGTGCTTGGCAACCGCAATGGATCTGCCAGAGCTGTGGATGTTATTTCATGTCTTCACATCAACATCCAGCCTTCTTCAGGAAATCGTCTGCAGCACTGCTGGGACTCTTTGGGCACAGCACATGATGCAAATGGAACCAGGTTGGGAGACTGGTTTCTTTTCTTGCTGTTACTTCCCGGCATGATGGAATTCCCCTCCTGAGCTGGTTCTGGTGGCTGTTAGAAGAAGGGATACAAATTTATGCTGCAATTTTTTAAAGCCTGAATTTGCTGGAGCCAGACACTGGAAGATTCCCTCATTGTGGAGCCGGGTGGGGTTGCCGAACTGTACAACGCACCTGTCTGCCTCACCCAGCCCAGTTCCTCACTGACAAAACAGTGTTGTCTTCCTTGGTTCTGCGCAGCAGCCCGTGGCTGCACTCATGGATAATCCCCTCACAAACTTCTCACTGTAGCTACGTTTATTCTTCCCAAGGCTTTGAGACTTTCTACGTGAGGTCATGTACTGCAAATAAAATCCTATTACAGATCTGAGATCAGCTTGTTTGGCAGGAGGAACAAAAAGCATCTTTACGTGAGTTTGGAGGTTAAACTTGTCATACTGTAAAATTATACAGGAGGAAAAATGAGATCCTGCCTTTGCTAGCACATGCCACAGTAGGAAACGTTTGGAAGCGCTTCTCTCTACAGGTGCATACAGGAATGGCTATAGTGCAAGAGTCTTTGCAGTATCTACCAAAGATATTAATTTGAAGTGCTGGATGAGACCACAACCATTTATGTGCTGAGGGGAAAATATTTCAGAAGGTGAGCACTTTGTAGCCATTTTGGAATCCTATTGAGTAATCCTTTAAACAGTACTCCTGATGTATTTGTGTAGATTCCTTCAGAACAGCAGATATGAGAGATTCCCTAGCAAGATGAATAGTTTTCATATTTCTCTGACTAGGCAATTCCTTTTTTTTTTTTCCTCTTATTGTTTTTAGATTATTTTGATTCAGGTCGCTGGTATTCATAATGATTTCCTGCAAGATGAATATTGTGACTTCCCTGGCAATAAGACAGACAACTGACAAAACAAATCAACTCATAGAAACTTTGTTTCAATAGCTAGGCTTTTTCTAATACATGGATGAGGTTCCTGGGCAGGACACCTTAATTAATTGTTGTAGAAGTTTATTTATGATGTCCTGGTTTGAGCTGGGATAGAGTTAATTTTCTTCTTAGTAGCTAGAATAGTGCTGTGTTTTGGATTTAGGATGGTTGTCTTTTCCACGATTGCAGAACCAGTGCCCTTCCCATCCCTGGCTAGCGATCCCAGAGGAGAGGAATTCCAAACTGCAATCCCGGAAAGGAGAGGGAGCTTCCCGGTCAATCCTCACCTATATACTGAGCATGACATGGAATATTCCATTGGCCAGTTTGGGCCTAAGCCCACATCTTAAATCAGGGATTGTGAGTCTGTTGCTCCACCCGTGCTCCCTGCCAGCTTGTTGTGCACTGCACACTGGCAAAGCAGGGGAAGCCGAAAAGTCCTTGATTTCGTAGCAACAACTGAAAAACATCAGTATATTATCAACATTCTTCTCATACTATATCCAAACCAGCACTATTCTAGCTACTAAGAAGAAAATTAACTCTATCCCAGCCAAAACCAGGACAGTGTAATTCTAAAGCATTCACTTTTAGTATCAAGACAGAGGATGACTGACACTTAACTTGCCTACCTCCAAAATTCCATCCGGCAAGTAGAATGTTGCAAAGCTTCTGCAGTGTTTTGTCACATCTAGTCAAATTTATACTTGACTGGATGATAATCTGGCAGAATATATTGCTCAACTATAAATAGTTGTGTGGCACTTTTGAGAAGCTTAACTTCTCCTGCATATGGTTCTTCTCAAGTGCATAACTTGGTAACTAGGACCCTTTCTAGGAGAAAGGCTTTTTATTGCATTCTGATAAGCATCTGGCTGTAACGCAAGGTCGCAGCGAGACTTCCTTTCGTGAGCAGGCAGCACCATCTGCTGACGGAAAGGGAAAGTTCACGTGATAGTAAAAGGGATGGTTTTCCTTCTCTTTGTATCGAGAAACTCGATGCTAAGAGCAGAGGTTGTCCAGGGAAGAGTAGGGTATCTCTTTAAAGCCTTTTTCCGATAAAGAGGACAGAAAAGTGACTGTAACAGGTACAAGAGGTATTGAAACTGATTTAACTAACACTCATGTTTTAAAATACAGAATTTTAATGGATTATGGTTTTTCTCCTTCTATTGGTGAGAGACATAATGGACTTAGACAGAGGTGGCTGCAGAAACATGACGGATAGTCCTCGTTTTATGGCAATCCGAGATGGAAAGAGTCTAAAAGTGTTACTGCTTTTGTTCCTGCCTTTTTCTTGGTGTGCTTTTTGTATCGTACCACTTCCCTTCCTTGTACTCGGACTGCACACAGCCCGTAATGGCTTGTTTAGTGCATTACCATTACTGTTCACTAATTTTCACTGTTGTGAAAGTGATTTAGAATTAAAAAATGGTTTTACATTGACCGGAGCGCGCCGTCACTCTTGCGTGCTTTGCGGACGGCCCGAGGCTTGCCCAAGCCCTACCTCGAGAGCGAGCAGCAGAGGAGCCCGCTGCTGGTCCGTGCCTCTCCCGCG